TTGAAGACTGCTGAATGCTGGTTAAGGACGCACAGCCTTTACTCTCCACTGCAAGAATCTATAAACCACGAAAAGATCAGCTGGAACAAGACTCTAAAAACTTCCTTGAAACAGCGATCAACATACCTTCAGCAAACTCACACAGAAGAAAATATGCCTCGAAACCCAAACTATGGTTACAGCAGCGGAATCCATAAGCATTGAGATCCATATAAGCACCAGAATAGCTTCTGACATAGAAAAATAGTGCTAACCGATAAGATATAACCAACAAACTGGGGAAAAAGAGGCAAAAACGGCACAGAAAGGCTAAATTTTAATACAGGAGAATGCGTGTAACCTTCAACAGAACACGAGAAAGATAACAAGTAGGCCCTTACATAGAACGACTTAGTAAAACCAAGCCTTAACATAATAAAATACTTGAATTATAAAGGGTCCCTTTAGTGTCAAATGAAAAAAAGAAAACACGTGAGCGACTGTGTGTGGCATATAATAAACCGATTTGAATAACTCACACTCCATTTATTCACAAAATGTAAATACGACCCTTCAAATAAATAAAATTAAAGCGACATTTTATTTTAATTAAACGAATTTACAATAGAAACGTAGTGATACGGCTTAAAATAGGGCAATACTTTGCTTCACGTAGAAATGCATTTAGTTAATGTGAGGCAATTTTCACGAGCATTAGTTTAACCCAGTGGCAGCTGGTGCATAAGTGGTGCAGAAATATTCCATCTGTATGGTTCGCACTTTGCATTCAGTTTTTTTTATCATTTATAATAAAGCTGATGAAAAGTATTTAGTATTACATGGGGTTTAAAATTAAAAATAATTTAATGAGAATGCGCAATTGTTATTTTCAGCATCAAAAACCATTGGTTTAACCTGTAGCTTGTAAAATCAATGCATTCGAAGGTTTATAAAACTGAACGCTAACTAGATAAAATAATTTGAAGTTGAAAAGGAGAATTCTGTGATGTTGCTGTTTTTTTTTAAATAACATTTGTGAAAGTTTTGCGAATTTTGAATTGATAGGGTAAATTGCAACAACTTCTTCGATCTATGTCGGAACTAGCTTTCTCATTCATTTTTGATTTTTTGCAGGTGGTGTGACATTAAAACATATTTAGTTTGTTATTGTTGACATCATGAGTGAATCAATGCTGACATCAACATTAATTATATTAAATAATAATATACCGTTAATAACTAATAAAATATTGGTAAAAAAATCATAGTTACAATGCATCAGAATATTTTTTCATATTTTATTAACTTCAATTAGTCTATTATCCATCTTAATTATAACATTACGATGTTTGTCTTCTACAGCTGCGTGAGGCTATTTACCATTTTCCATATTTACCCAATTTTACCGCCCATATTATGTTGTATTGGTTTGGAGTTTTACTCATAAATATCACTATAAATATCTCATAAAAATGATGTAGTAAGTACTTTACATTTACTTGTCGCATAATTTTTTAAGCTTAATCGAAAACCGGACGAACGCTAGTTGGGACTTTCATGAAATAATGCAACACATCAACTAAAAACGTTTTACACAATTGACCACTTAGTTAGATCAAAAGAAAGCATCCTTCTTCCTTGAAATAAGCATGCAAGACCAAAGATCTTTTACTTTCATCTTTCTTGGTTTTACAACTCTGGGTGAGTCTTAGCCTCATCCACTATTGCTCTCCATCCCTTACGATATTGTGCTTCCACTTGCCACCGCTGGACTCCCAAGTTAGATAGATCTGCTACGATAGCATCCTTCCATCTTTTCTGGGTCTACTGATTGATCTTCTGCCATCTGGTTTCTCAAAGAATACTGTTTTTATTAACCTGTGTCTTCATGACCCGCCCATCTTACTGGCTGACTCGGTTTTCACTGCCATTGTCACCAATTCAGCATCGTGGCGTTTTTTTCACACTCCTGTTGCGTCCTCTCTATTGGGTCCAAATATCATTCTGAGGACTTTTTCTTCAAATACAAGAAGCTCATTTATTTCCCGTTAATTGAGGGTCCAGGTTTCGCTGTCATAAGTAACTACCGGGCGGTTTAATGACCTGTACAAAGTTAGTTTGGATTCTCTCTTGACCAGCTTAGATTTCAAGATTGTTGTTAAAGAGTATAACGTCCTATTTCCCACCATTATTCGCGCTGAGACATCTTTTCTACTCGATGCTGATTCGTGATTTCCACTCCCAGTTTCCCCACTTCTTAAGGGTTATATTCTGTATTTTGTTCTTTCTTCGTTTACGCGTAGGTCCAGCTTACCTGGGTCTTCCTCCAGCGGTAAAAAACCTTCGTATGGCTCTTGTTGATATGGAATATTTGACAATTAGCTAATCGCCATGCACTTATAGCTCTTTTCAATTCCAGAAAAACAAAGAAATGTAATCCGCGAAACGGTGAAAAAAACGGTTTTATTTTTTGCCGTGCAAAGTCCATAAAGAACTCAAACTAAGCGTCAGACTAATTGGTGTTGATATACGGTCGAACGATCAATTTCCGCCACAGCAATCGCTTATCGAAAGTTTTTATCTAATATGGAGATCGATCAGAGGAAGGCATTAGAACTAATTGTTTACTGCCACTACCTACTTTAAGCTTTGCGAATCACGGGAACGATAGCAACTAACAAAACATTGCAGATGAGCCTTCATGAGCAGAACAATTGCTCTTACTGCATGTTCTATTCAGGTAATGATTAATAGGCTCCATTTCTATGGGCGGTTTTGCAACAGAATAATGTTATGGCGCAAAACGTTATTATTCAGATGGTCTGTTATTTCATTTATGTTCCAAATGTCCATGTGCAGTGTCCCAGTTTCAGTAGTTAAAGTTGTAATATGTCAAGTTATAAATGTAATGGTTTTTACATCTATGGTTTTCAGATACTTTTGCTTCCCTTTCAAGTTGAATACTCTGTTGCACATACTTTTTTCAAATGCTTTTAAGACGATTATACGCTTCGAGTGTAGTAGTTTTAGTCGATGGCTGCGAATGCCTTCAACTAACGGGCCAAACACTTGCAAAGCTATGGAGCAGATGCTAATAATTCAGTATTTTGTTGAATTACTCGCAGAGGCCTGTGATCCATATTCAGCTCAATGCAGGTTTGCCCTTCATTGAGCTGCATTTATAAACCACCCAGATAAGCAAATCTTTAAATAGCTCTTTTAATATTCTGTTGCTAATATTCGTGTTTCTGAAGCTGAAGCTGAAGTTTTCAGTTTCAGTTTGTTTTGTTCAAAAGTAGACTAAATCTGTGAAATATTTAAATTCAAATAGAATAACCAAGGTGCCAAGATAAATTATTTCTGGATTATTTTGGATTATTTAAATGCAACTTGCTTGTTTATGCAAATAAACGTATCAATCTGATCTTGCAATAATTATGTCGTAGTACTAACCAACGAATAAAACTTTTTGCTTGGATATACTCGATATTTCACATGTTGATTTGGATTGACGAAATGTTGGGCAGGAACCGTGCCGTTTAATTAACATGCAAGAAAAATCGTAAATTCTCTTATCCTATATTTATGTTATCCACCTGACGGAGGATAGAATGTAGGATTACAAGGATTTCTAAGAAGTCTATGAGGCTTGGTGTTTTAGTCTATGTTAATATAGATATACTAAAGATTTCATATTATGATATTGTATTATGACGATAATAAGGTCCGACATGAAGTACTTATACCATTTTGATTTAAGTTTATTGAAGAATATGAGTTATGAACAAGAGTCATAGAAGTATAGTCAGATATGGAACGACGTTGAAACATATGAGTAATACAACTATTAAAAACTGAAAAAATGCTTGAAACTTGCAATTTAGAAAAAAGTTTGCCTGTTTAATTTACCTCCAATAGACTTGGTCCCAAATTACTTTCAATGCTTGACTTTCACAAAACTTTCATTTTCCAATTAAAAATGTAAGCCTTAAATAATAATATTTTACTCTGACTTATAACGTCGCCACAAATGCAAGGTGAGCTTTTTAGATCATAAATATGCAAATTTTCAAATTGTCTTTGCATTTACTCACATTCAAAAACGACATATTGAGCTGCCTCGCATTAGGGAGTATTTGGAGCAACACTTTCTTGAAACTCACATACCACGCACTATAAGAGAGAGTACAAAGTTGCTGATATATTAGGGGGGACTATTGAAAATGAAGATATTACAACAAAACTTCTTCTTCTTCAACAAAACATGTTCTTTCAACAAAACATGTTTGTTTGTTGTTTTCGAAACAAGTTTTTAATTGTGACAATATATTTCAAATTTATGTTTTTGGGTTTTTGGACAAGTTGTCCGGAATTCGTGCGATAACACGTCACGAGGCAGTTCTCAAGCAAAAATTAGTGGGTCAAATTCCTATAACACTTTTTCGAAAAATCAATAATAACTGATCTACAGGGCGTTAAAGTTATCTATTTTAAAATTAATGTTTTGGAGTAACTTTTCAGTTGGATAAATAATTGTCTTACAATTTGACACACTTATTACTTATGATAATTTGTATTATTGTACAAATGTTGACATTCATCCTTTAATGCTGAGGGGATGAATACTTATTTTATAACTCACACTTTTTTTGTTTTCCGTATTCTGTTGTGTATGATTTCAAAAATATAAGCGAGCTCTCAAAATCGCGTCGGTTTCTGTCGTAGTATAAGAATCTGTTCGCACAGAACTTTAGCACTAGCACTAAAAGCGTAGAAAACGTAAGAAAAACGAAAGAAATGCTTTAATGCAACATCTGTAGGATGGTACTTGCGAATTAGATTGTTAAAGTTAGTCAAATCAGTACCAATGTTTATGGTCGAGTTTAATATTGGTTAGTGTCAGTTCATTTTATAATAAAATGTATTATTATAGTTCAGTGTTAGTTATAAATCCGTTCGAGACCTCTTACGCAGACATCTAGTAGTTCTCACACAAAAGGGGGTTTCAATAAAGCTCAGAATTTGTGACAACGTATTTACTGTCTTACATGTTTGTACAGATTTTCATACAGGCGCAAACTAAAATTCTTAAAAATGCGCAACAAAAGACCGATAATTTAAAATTTGGTAATAAATATTAAATAAAATAAATATATTAAGAGTCCTAAGCCTTATGAGATTAAACAACACTTAAAAGCTAACATCTTCGCATTAATATTATCAATTTTATTATATACAAGGTGATTCAGGTCTAATCTTGAACAATCGATAGAACAGGTTAGAACAATCTCAGGATATATTTTTTTTCTTAAATCGCATCGTTTTGCAGAAGTGAATGCCTTCCCGATTTGCCCTCAAAATTTTTGAACCAATGTTGAATCAATCGGATTGAGGTAAGATTCGGAAGCCAAATGACTTCTGAAGCATATTCTCCTAACTTTATAATTACATAGCCTTAATTAAATGGGTGGTTCAAAATCGATGAAGGAAAAGCTGATTTTTTTTTATTTCAACGCCCTCTATTTCCGAAATGATGCGAGTTCAGGCTTCGGATATTCGTGTGTGGTATTTATTAATCAACTAATATTAATCACCTAAAGAATAACCGTATTATTTCTATGGTAAAAAAACACACTGGGTGGTATACAACTATTTTGTGAGAAAGCATACATATAATTATTAAGTTAGGTTTTGTCTCATATAAATGAAGTCTCGAAGTAACGCGATGAGAAAACAACTAGCAATAATAGTTCATAGTTAAGTACATGTCTGTAATTATATCTATCTCCCTATACACATAAGAGATATATGAACTTAAGAAATTCATTTAGATTCTGTTTAGTGATAAGTGAAGGTGCAAGTGAATTACAGTCTGATTCCATATACACATCAACGACTTTCAAGATAATTTTCTTAAAATGATCGCAATGTGTTGAATCTTACATGGGAAGCAAATTGAGTAAGTTTATTCTATGATAAATAATAATGTACTTGCGTGCAATCCATTGAATCAAAGTATGCAAAAATTTGTTACTCACAGCTTGTTGCTTACAGGCACTAAAATCGCGCTGAAGCAGTTTGACAAACATATTGAGCAGTAAAATCTCATTGACAAATTTTTACTCCAAAAATACACTTATCTTTTTATACGAACTAACCATACTATTTCGACCCATAGAAACTCAGTTGGCTCAAAGCAATTTCAGATCTTAGTGTTATCAATAAAAATCACTCTTATTTACGATCACGGTTTAATAAATTAGGTCTATTAATACAAGAAAAGAAGAAATTACCTGATATAATAAGGTTATAAGTAACATTTACACCAGAGCAAAATACGAATTTTTCTTTAAGTAGCTTGCAAAATTGTCTAAAAGATATATGAGTGTGCTGCATATTATTATTAGAAAGAACACTATATTAAGAAATGAGAAAAATAGTGCATTTTTTATTGTGCTGATAGTATTTCGTAAAAATACTGTGTCGCTCATGTTGACGTCGTCGGTTTCTGAAATATGAAAAGAAAATAATTTAATATAATTATTTCAGGAAAAGATGAAACGTATTGGTAATTAAACCTTTGATGGACTGCAGAATTCCAACAATATCAAACACAATTAACAAACCTTCAATTGATGACGTTTTATTAAAAAGGAAAACGTGCACTGGGCTTTAAACTCATAAATTATTTTCAAACAATAAATTGGAAAATCAAATACAAAATCGTATGGTATTTTAATATTGGAAGTAAATATAGATTTAATAATAGCACAGCCAGCCGGTTCAACCGTAGTTGAACTTGCTCTCAGTAAAACCAAAATCACCCAAAATGACTTCTTGATTAACGGCATAGCAAATAAATTAAGTTTATACTAGTACTACACGTTATTAACACTCTGCGGGGCTGAAAAATAAATTACGAATATAAAGACCAGAAATAAAATATGTTGGAAGTAAATAAGGCATCAGTTGTGAAAATTTTCCCTTAAAATAATCGTTTTGTATTGACAAAAAAACAATAGCGGTAAATACACTTAAAAAACTTAAACTAGCGGTAAATACAATTAAAACCCATCAAAGCGAAACGTTAAACTACGTGTATGGTAGTGGTAATGGTAATTAACTAATTTCACTGATTAAAAATTATATTTTAGCATTTAATAGCTCCTCGGGTGTAACTTAGTTTAGAAGTTTGGCTTTATTTTAGTTTATCTTATTTTAGTTTAAGTTAACTTATTTTAGTTTGGCTTACTTTATAGAGGATCAAAAGTGTGAATTGGAATGCCCATGTTTTTGTAGACCGTTTACAAGATCAGTAGAGTGGAAAACGAGCTCCAAAGATACTTTAAATACTTTTATCGTTAGTTGCAATATTAAACAACAATACATTTTTGAAGAAGAAGAAAAAGAACAATTTTTGAAATGTATCAGACACTCAGAAATGCAACCATAGATAGCAAAAAAAAGATAAGCAAAACCAAACTAGCTACTGAAATAATTTTGGGAAATTTGCCGACTATAAATACTTACACTCACAACTGAAAGTTTTCCAATTAGATTTACTGTACATATAGACGTAACACAATGATATTAATTTTCAATGAAAAACGTTTGACAAAAGTTTGATTAAATAGCCGCTAATAGGGCTTTGGCATGTTAAAACCCCGAAAATGTTTAACGAGAAAGTAAACTGTGAGTCGCATCGGCGGAACTCTATAGGTATTTGAGTTCCGGTTTAAAACTTTTCAATTGGATAACTTTAAAAGTTTATCATTTAATAAATTAAATTTTTTATAGCGTAAAGTCAAGTTCAGATAAGAAAAAATATATTTTTTAGGTTGGCTTCTTTTGACACCAGCAGTCATTTGGTAATTATTACGTTAAGTGGAATTACGAGAAGCCTCAGAAAATATACCAAAAATGCAAACATTAAATCATGTTAGAAGACACGAAATTTTCAAAACTTCTTTTCTGAACTAAGTTTACAATATTCTGTAGCTTTTATTAGCTTTGCACATCTCACATTGCATTTGTGAAATCTTTCTTCAGAGCTTTGGCAGAACTATACTTGGACAAGGCATTGGGTGCAAGCGATGTAAATAATTTTCTCCAAATATTTTAATAAAAATATATATAAAACAATTTTAATAATATTTTAATAAAAAATAAAATAAAAAAAAAACAAAAAAATAAACCCTCATTTTTGATTGTTTTATCTTATTTAGTATCTATTAAACACAAGGGTACGTTTGTGTAAAGTTGAATATTACTGCGTTCAGTTTTCGAAATATTGTCAATTTAGTGCTTGTATATGGCTATTTGCCCGTCCAGTATTTTGAAGGCCTTCTTAGTTGCCATTTATTTTATTAGTGTTCTTCTGTTGTAAATTGCAACTTGCGCTGCTTAAGTTAATAATACCCCAGAATCCAGACTAAAGTATCTAAAGGTAGGTGCATTTTATTTATTACTTAGCGGTGGTCTAGCGGATATCGTCTTAAAAGATTACAAGTACAAGTGGTCCTGGCCTTCCATTTAGGTTTCGCGCTGTTTTACCAAATTTCACACTATAAATAAATTATTTTTGTCAAACAATTCGTGCTGGGGTTTTCAGCAGCCAGGATTCGTCCGACTATACCCAGTTTTCTTGTACAGCGCCCTTTAGGCTGCATGTGGTCCAGATCAAGAAGATTATATCCAGATGTGCAGCTGATCTAAATTTGAGTCACATAATGGTTTTTAGTTTTTTGAAGAAAAATCGGAGTTTTAGGGAATTTTAACGTTCTGGAACCGGGCAGCATTTATTTTGTAGTTGTAGAAGTAGATGCCAATCAGTGTTGTAGTTTTCATTTGATAGTATTTATACTGCTCGCATGTGCAGATTTGAGAATTTTAAGGGGTGGCTTCCCATTTCGCTTTTTACGTATTTTATACAGTGTTTTTTTGTAAATGGTGTTAAACTTCAGGAGCACTGAAAAATCTGGGCATGCATTCCCGTATCTGATATATTCTAGATTAACTTTTTAAACGTTAGATTTTCCACATGGAACTAAATATGGAAAGACACTTCTCGAAGCGTTCCATCGAAAGTTTTCGAATGATTACTTCAGTATTTTTTACCGTTTTCCCTATAGAAGTTGACCTCGTTAACGTTTGATTATTTCTCTTCTACTCTTTTTAGGGATAGAAATTTTAATATAAAGCCCTAGTTGGAAAAGCCAGCTCCTAAGAGTTGATTTATATCTAAACCTTCCTAATGATTATTTAGAGATTTTGAGCAGCTTTCGTGATATCTCTAAAAATCGCGATGTCCAGAAAATTTTACATTATCTCCGCTGGCTCTTGAAGGAGAGTTCAAGCAACCCTTGGTACAGAATGTTCGAAAGATTGCTCTAAAATGTTTGACAGTTTCCGAGAAATAAACTTTAAAGCTTCGGCGGTTAAATCGGAAATTCACACTGTTTTGCGTATTAGTTTTCTTGATTTTGCTTCTATCCGTTAAGAGGTAAAAAATTTCTCATCGAACCAGCTGTGGAGAAATAGCTCCCAAAACGATCTCTCGAAATGGTGTTAATGGTTATTTACATATGTTTGTCGGTTTTTGAGGTACAAGCTTTTAAATGTTGAGGAACATTGGAAAAACCCTGTATCCCGAAAGCTGATCTGTGAGAAGCTTGATAGAAAAATTTCGAACAAATATAGAAATCGTTTGAGTCGTACAGGGTGGTCCTCACCTAATGGGCTAAAATTCACTGACAGAGTTTAGACAAAAATATTGCGTTTTATGCAAATTTGTCTTATCTGAAACTTAATAGTTTCCGAGATACAGCTGTAAAATTGTAACTAAAATTATCGTTTATTTTGAGTACATTCTCAACCGGTGCACCAAAGCACTCTTTTTTGCTTCAATAATTGTAGGTTTATCTTTATGGTTATCAGCTCCTTCAGGGAATATTTCCGTTAAATGTGGACTATTCAAATACCATTTCCTGAGATTCATGTTTGCTTCAAACCTTATAGTTCTGGAACGTTGGAAGGTTGACTCAACAGATAGATGCTTTTTAAGTGTAGCGGCTAACAAAGCGGGAATTGTAATTACGCCGAATGTAACTTTACTCATTCTGAAAGTTTGTAGTTTGGGCAACTATACTCGACGTAATGTTTTTTATGGGATTCTTAAATCATAAGTATCGATAATAATCACGATCCTCTTTGTTTAAAGAAATCTGGAGGAAGGCCTTTTTGATATCAGCAATTAGTTCTATGCGTCCAGTTCGAAAATTTAATAAATCTGGGTCTAAATTTTCGTCCGTTAAAACTTTATCGTTTAACGACGGCATACCTGGTAATGTAATATGCTCCATCTTTTATATCGTTTTCGAGTACTTGTTCTGCACAGCCCAAAATTGATACTTGGCGCATTTTTACAAAGTTTGCGAATTAAGTTCCTTGCACGCATCGAAGCATTCGTATAATTGGAGTCCAAATGTCTGTCTGTTTGCCACTGTAAAGTTACTTCATACTTGTTGTTCCTAAACATCACATTATTTTCGGTAAAAATCTTCAAAAAATTGTGCATTCGTTTTTCTTCAGGGGCGCTAGTCCCGATCGTTTCCAAATCCTAAAACATTTTCATATTCGGGTCGCTAACTGATTCCATCTCAGTCTCGATCATTTACAAAATAGAAAAAAACATTTTGTTGTATTTCAACACCACAAACAATTTAAATGTTTTGCTAATCTTGTTAATTTACAGAGTGGTATAAAAAGTGATTATTTTTTTCTTTTCAACCGGTTAACAAAATTTCAGGGTCACGTTGAAGCAAAAAGTCGTCAGTTCTGCTGTGGGTCAATTTTCATGCATTCCCGTATATAAAATGTTTGCCTTAAATTGTTTATGAAAGTTTGGCTTTAGAAATGGCAATTAGAAAAATTCAAAAGCCATTTCGAGCCATTTGGTTTATCTTTAAACTTTTGACGATGAGATCCAAAAACGTTCATTTTGTCAAACCAGAAGCATGTCGAACTTTGCAAAATTTTGCAGTTTTCCATTTTCCACCCATGTAGAACATTTTTCTGAAGCGCTTAATTCTTACAACTTATAATAACAGAACACAAATGATGCTAGTTGGGCCAAATTTGGCTGTGTAACGTTCATTCTGTTGAGGAGTTTGTTTACTTCTCGCTCGTTGCAGGTCAGAACTTTCTAGTTAAACTTTTTGGTGAAAGGTGGTCTCCAAGATGGTAATTGGGGTCCCCAAGTTGGGTACTTTTTATCAAACCTATTTATAGAATGTTTTCTCTTGAACGAAGAACTAAATATTGGCTGTTCAAAAGATCATAACTACTGAATCGATATTTGCATCCAATTCAGAAATATGACGACTTACAAATTAAGACCCTTGAAAAGTAGGAAAGCTTTAATCGTATCTGCAACCCAACGAAATGTTTTTACGAAAAAGCCCTTTTAGCAGATGTTTTTTACAGTGTTTTGGCACCAAATTTGAAAACGACGTCAGGTCCCATGCATACCTCTACACAGACTTATATACTTTAAAACTTGGCAACACTTTGTAGATGGAGCGCCTAAGTCCTATCATCGATGCAGGCTACGGCTAACCTTGTAGAAACATTGACTGACTAATTGTTCTGTAATTCCCTCTAATTTGTGGACGTCCTAAAAGCCTCATAATTAATTCTGAACCTGCCAGAATATTTGCTATATCGATCGCTAATCGCTGTTGATATATCTGGATTTATCACTAATGCTGGATATTGATTGTTGCCTCGTCTGATAAGTGTTTCCTTTTTTTTGTCAGAACGACAAATTGTTTCAATATCAAGGAATACTCAATAGTTATATCACGAGAGCTGGATATTTTTGTGAGAATAGTTTTGACGGGACGAATTTTATTTGAAATACTCCGACAGTGAAGGTGTGAGAAAATTTTTGCTTTGAAATTTGGGTCGAGAAATATTTTTTAAGCAATATTGACGGAAAAAGGTCAAAGCGTGCTGTACCAAAAATATCAATCTAGACTGGTATGTAACAAGATTATATACAAAAACAGTTACTGAAATAATTTGACAAGAAGTATTTTATGTTTGTTGACAGAGGAAATACAATCACTGATATTTTCGTCTTTGTACTGTCTGTGTGACCCATTGCAAATATGCTTTCTACCGTATTGTAGTCCAGCTCACCAAAATATCCCTCTAACGTGATATTTCTGATTAATCTTAGGAATAGTACTAATTGAAAAATATCTATCTATGTTTATATGTATATCTATCAATCTAAATAATAACCAAAAAAAATTTAAATCCTACAGGAAAATGTAATAGTCCACACTAGCTTCAAACTCGCTCTGCTAGAACCACTTTACTACATGACGCATTATCACGGAAATGCTTCTAAAGAAATATAGCCTAAAATCGCAAAGACCACTTTCCATCCATTCTGTTTGTCAGATCTACTTAAGAAGTATGTTTCTACATTTGCGTAAATAGTTCGTTCATTCTTATTTGAGCTTAGAAATCAGCCGACGTTGTTTCAGAATATTCACAAAATTTTGAGGCTGGAAAAGCAGTAGACAATGTTGACTTAAAATAGTTAATTCAAACTTCCATTATCTCAGAGATTTACGTTTTACTGTGGGTTTAACGCTTTGGTGAGTAGTAGGTATCTCGTACCTGTCTTCTAATGGATATTAAATATATAATGTATGCGAATGCATTTGCAAAATATAGAAGAATATTAAATGCTTTCAGTGAATCGCTCATGTTATGCAACCCCACATTAACGTCTCCTCACAATTTCTTAACAGATAATTATTTTAGCTTAGTGGGCTTTGGATCCCCAAAATTTTACATCCAAATCAACAGGTTGAAAAGTGAACGTTATTATAATATTATAAATCATCAACCAATTAATACCTGGCATTATGTATAAGTTATTAATGTATTTCTAGCGTTTTGGCAACTTTAGCTGCATTTATCAATAATTTTTAAATAACTATATAACACATTTCATGAGAGGTAAAAATGCAAATGCGTAGACAGAACAGAACAAAACCCTTGAGATACACAAACTTTTTGTCACTAAGCCATTTCGTTCCGCATATTTTTTCGCAAATTTTATGCGATTCAAATTCATTTGTTGGTCAGAGCGTTCTTACAATAGCAGAGTAAAACAATATTAAACAATTTTATTAAATAGGGTTAATTGAATTTCTCGTAAACATTGTTTTACCACCAAATCCCTCCATAAACTATGTATGGCGCGGTTTTTATTTTAAATACAAGTGTGATCTATACAAGTGAATGCTTTTCAGGAGATGAGCTTATCAAATATTTAAAATAAAATATCGTTTACAATTTTATTTTAAAATTAAAAACTAACAAAACTTATTTTGGATCGACTGTTTTGTTTCCAAAACTTTTTGAAAACCATTTATTAAATATTAAATATGTGATGCTGCGATATTGTTAACCGTTTAGGGTAAGAGGATTCAAATTTTACCTTTGGCAAAATGAATAAACCCAGGAACTGCCCTTTTCGAAAAACCTGCCAGGACAGATACGTGGATGTTCAAAAGTTTTCACATGTCGAACCTTTTTAGAAATGATCTTTGAGGCATCCTCGAAAACGTTTTCGTAATGTACCAAGGTTTTAGCTAAAATGTGTCCCGAGACTTGCAAACGAGTGAGTTGTTTACGAGCAATTTCAAGTTTAAATGCGTTATTATAATGTCCTATAAGCTATGGTCAAAAAGTGCTCCCCAGCGGTCTGAGTGGCTGGTAATCGAAAGCTCAAAAGTTGAGTCCGAAAGCTGATGTAACGTAAGTTCCCGTTATTCTCTCGTGTTGACCGAGGTAAATATCAAACCAAAAAATTAAAAACATTTGAGTTTGGGGATAGTGGAGGCCCTGTTGTTGGACCCTTACAGTCCTATTCATCACATTCACATCTCTCGAGTTCTTCGTCAAGTTTGTCTGATATGCGAAAGAATGTCATGCACACCATGTAATGTGGCAAAACATTTTTCTAGAAGCTTAAAGATCGCTCCGAACGATTCAACTTATTAATTAAATTATTTATTACAGCCCCGAACTCCCAACCAAAAAGTAATGAAATTTCAAAAGCGAAAGGAACAAAAATTAACGACACAGCTTCTTGGGATCGTTGATTGATTAATCCAAATAATTTTTAACAACTAGATCAAGCTTCATGCCATGTTTATGCAGAACTTGCACCCTCTTGCTTTTTGAAAAGCTTACATTCTAAATGTTCAGGGTATTTAAAAAAATTCTCACTTGTAAACATATTTTCTACATCACGTAAAGTGAAGCGACAATTAAAGTACTCATTGCCACTGGTGCAAGGTACAAAAAAGATATGGAAAAGCCCCATGACCAACGGTTGTGAAGTATCCAAAAACCCTGATACAAAAACACCTCGCTTGCTCCAATTGCAATCAGTTTTAATCTTTATTAACCTCAATTAAGCGTTCTAGACTCTAATTGAATTCAAATGTAACTTCACTTAACACAGCTTAAAACGGATCTATTTTTACACTTGCTGGAAGATTTAGTAAATATGTTCTCCACTAGCAAGCACTTTTCAATCATAATCATATGAAATGTTACGAAATAGAGTAATACCCCTCATGAGCATGTGTTAAAAATTTAAATCACTCGAAATTTGTTCAAAAATTGACATTATTCTAAAATTATGTATCACCGTCTCCCCAGTATCAGTCCCAGCGAGTTTTTCCAAATTAGCTTTCACACATTTAGTAAGCGTATTAAATTAAATTAGCTTAACTTGCACATCAAGTTTTCTGTCTTAACTCTTGAGGTTAGCGAATTGACAAATAAATGTTGGCTGAAGCACTTGATTATAATAAATATATATATGAGATTTTTATAATATTTTTGGGTGAAATTTGAACCTAAAATAAATTCACATTTTGAGAACTCATAGAGCTGTAACTCGAAAATATTCAGATTTTGCATTTTTGTTACATGACTTGCTACCTTAAATTATTTTAGTATGTTGAATCACGTTTAACATTTTTCTAACACATTTTCTGCACACCCTGTATATGTTCCAGCCGGCTTGAAAATACGTTATACTTAAAGTCCCCACCCTGGATATACTAAAAATAGTTTTTTGGAACATCTTTTAAAGACGTTTGATCTAAGTTAGCAATACCTTAAAAAATCAGAACAAGAATGAACGGCAAGGCACCGGACTAATAATAGAAGCTCCCCTGCAAACAACGATCAGCGATCTGCACTCTTAGATCACTGGCCTCAAAACCAACTGAATAAAACAAAATCGAACGGATTATCACCGCACTGGCATTCGCCACTTTCAGCTATTCAGATAGCTGAGCGCACTAACATTTCGGTTTATTTCCAAAAAGAAAACGAATCACACTACTAGGATTCACGTATAGACTTCTATGTTTTATTTTGTTTCGAACAGAAGCCGCCAACAAGAGAATTATGGATCAATTTTGAGTTTATGCGACGACTCGGCGCGGCGACATCCTGAGATCATTTTATTTTTATCAGTTTAGCGTCAGTTGCCGACTATAGTACGAAAGCTTATGCCCGTTTCTCAAACGCGTTGAACTCGAACCATTTCTATTTAATAGCAGTGGTTATATGTTGCAGTAATAGTTGGAAATTTTGTAAATGTTAGCTTCGTTAATACAAGCAATTACTGAACCTACTATTAAATGCTATATTTAATGGAACTTTAATGTTTTTGTCAACCCGAATGTTAAATGCAACTAATGAAAAAAATGTTAATTGACAGAAAATACAAAAATTTATTGATGTACATTTCATTTTATACAGATTGTTTTTCAGATACATTTTGTTTTCACAAACATTGTTGCCGATATAAATATCTCCGTTTTTTTAAATAATTAGTTTTCCTGTAGTACTCCCAAAAGACTCCCAGACCACACCCCCAGGAATGCCGCCAATTTTAAATCACCCTGTGTAGCTAAGTTTCAGCTATATGTATATTTAATTATAGTCCCGGGTAGAGGTGGAATAAATGGTTATTTGTCTGTAACATGGTTACATCGTTCCAGTTTCACGTTGGTAATAGGTTTTAAAATGCGGTTCCAAAAGCAACATGTTACTATTCAAAATTTTCACTAAACATGCGCAATGATGATGATGGTAGAAATAGTAATGACAAATAATGATTTAGTTTATTAAAAGAATAATTCTAAACTAAAGTCTAGATAAAATAAAATATTCTTAACTCAAAAACAAAACATGGGTGAGAAGTACCTGCTTAAAGAACAAAAGAACTGATAACAAACTAGATAAAATATACAAATAAAAATTGATTAAATAAAATATACGCTTTATTGCAAAATTGTTTAAAAATCTAATTTTTATTTAAAAATGAATTAACGTTTAAAAATATTTTTTTTTGCAGATGCTTTTTACTGAGTTTGATTTATTACCCGAGTTAATTTTAGTACCACCAAAAAAATGATTTAAAAAAATATGTCGACCTTCCAACGCCTATATATCTAAATTTCATTTCATCTTGTTACTGAATTTATATCTAAAAATGGCAAGCTTGCTTAAATGCAGGTGCACATTCGGCTCACAACGTTTATTATTTTACATTTCAACTGTGATGGAATTTATGTCTTAGACTCTAAATTTGGTCATAACTCATATGAAAGTGTACATTCTGCTTAGTTTGCTGTTTGTAGTAAGTTTATTAATGAGTGAAATCTCTTTTTTTAAGATCTATTACAGAACGTCAGAAAACTAAATACTAAAAGAACGGTTTAAATCGGCAAACGGCTGCAGCTACATCGATGCTCGACGGTGGCGCATCGGTTCTGTGCTGTTGCGAACGGCTTTTTCGGGTTTATGAGACGGTTCCAAAAACAACCGGTTAAATCTGCTAGCTGTAACTACGTTTTCAGGTTTCCATCGAGCTTCAATGTAACCAGCTTAATGTCGGAGTCATGGTGTTTGAAGGTGATTTTGTCGACTCACTTGTCGACTTGGTTGAAAAACAAAAAATGTTCCTTAAAAAAATGGGCCTTGTTTCTTATCGGGTTGCAATACGCTTCGAACTTTGTGCTAAAATCGTTGCAAGTTTAGACTTATTCTCATGTGTGCCATAATCAAAACTATTGCAAAAGATATCTATATTGCAATCCCTGATCATCCTATTAGGCTAAGCACAATTCTATTTTAAGGTCGTCACCTTTTGAGCTTTATCCGCTTGCCAAGAGCTAGTTTTCGAGTTTTTGATGCCACAATATCCAATTAGCAGTAAAATCAGTAGTCCAAATCATTTCATTCTGAGTCTTGTTCTGCTCCGCTTCCATTACAAATTCAAACAAGGCTCTAATGTTGAGTAGTTTACGCACAACGATCGCAGCGTTTTCCGGAAAATCAACCAGACGTGCACTTTTCCGCTGCCACTGTGTTATTTCTTTGATTGAGGGTTTCTTATACATAGTCGCGTTATTTAATTTTACTAGAGTTGTCGAGATTTTGGCTCAACTACAGACTTTATTGTAAAATCTGTAACCTGGAAATGATCCTTTGACTGCTGGGCTGTGAGGTGAGAAAAGGCTGGGGCGCACAATAATGCATGCTGAATATAATAAAAATTGAATGCATGCCAAGGCAGGTACACAGAACCATTCCAGAAATCATTGGCTTTGATATAAAGAAGGCAGATAACAAGCAGCTCCCGAATATTTATCGAAAATATATGGTTGTTGACCATTTACCACTTAGCTAAACGATATACTTAAGTTTCTAGACCAATTAGCAGACAGGTAATCTATTAAATAGAATTACATCCTTTTTTAGTTTACAAAATCAAATACTTTTTCTTCTTTAAATCGGCGTTGCTTCATCGTCCATTTCCCTACCGCTTAACCTGTCCCTTAAAGTATCTGAATACTAATAGAAAACCATGTAAACTTGAGCGTATGTTTCCGAACATATGCCTTGCATTTTTATGTGATTTAGAGCATCATATTTGTAAAATGAAATAAAAAATTTGATTTCTAAAAGGTGATGTGACTGAAGAATGTGCTTTAATGTCTGTAAAAACCCAATCATGTTATAGAAACAATGATGAAGTGACAGGAGTTTGCAATCGCGACAAGTTTATTTATATACGAAGCTAAAAAGAATTGGAAATGTTTAACTCGAAAAGCAATTCCCAAAACAACCGAAAGGTTGCCGTAAACAAACACTCTTCAAAGTTTCAATGTTTAAAAGGGAGAAGTGCTGGAAACGCAGCATCTGGAAAATAAAAAAACTACGTATGGGTTCCGAAAAATGGAAACATCTGAGGCCTAAGATTTCATTATATAGGTAGATGTTTTATTATTTGTCAAAATTTCTTTTTCGAATGCCTCAAATTATCAATTTTTGAGTCATGTAAATTACACACTAGTTCTATATTAATAGGAATATATTCTAGATATGATATAGCTTTGCAATTTTTGGCTGACGGACAACTCATCTGCTTTCCAATCCAATCAAGTAGATACATTAACTGAATCAAGAAAAGGTCTTTTTGCAAACCGATACATTATTGGTTAATCAATATCAACATATCAATTAAAGCCTAAATAATATATGATTTGCTAGGCTTGACGCATATTGAAATAATCATTTTCATCAATCAGATTGTAATCTTACAATCCCTGTGTCAAAACTAAATGTTTACCTAAATGAACAGGCTAGTGATACGGCTTCTTAATTGATTTATTATTTATCCAACGTTTTGTGCGGAAAATGACGAAGGAAGGAAGTATGGTGCTTTGTTGAATAATTTACAGGGTGTTCGACTGTGGTCGACTATATCGTATCGGTTTATTCTGCACCCACAAATATTGTATTGTATAAGTGGTTTTATCATTTTCTAGCGCTTCACCAAGAAAGTCTCTCAATCAACCACAATTATTGTGTTGTAACACTTCTCACGTATGGCAATTTATTAATAAGGTAATTTATTCATTACTAAATTTTCCTATGTCAATTTTATTATTGTAACTTTTGCAAAGAGCTCTCAACGACCCATTAAAAAATTTAGATAGTAAATCATTTTTTATTTGCATTCTTCCGATACCAAGCAAATTATGGTATCAAAGGAATATTCATCTTTCTGTCACGAAAAACGCCTGTTTTGCATGTCTGGACATTGAATTAAACCGATAATGCCTTATCGGAACGGTCTAGTTTACGGTGTAAATCTCGTTTATCGGGACAGGTGCTATCCGAACAACGACAATTTATTAGTTCAGATTACCTAAATATGGGCCAATGCAGTAAACTTGTTTTGTATGGTAAGACCAGGAGTAAATTGACTAAATAAGTTATTGAAAATTAATAAAATATTTAACTGATGTTTTTCATTTGACACTAAGGTATATAGGCCTCAAAATATACAGGGTGATTCAAAATTACTGATTTACAATGATTCAGAAATACAAGAAACTACTGAAAACATTAATTGCTATTAAAAACTGAGAACTTTGCAAAAAACTATATCATAAGGACGACAACAATGTTTTTCAAGTTAATCTGCTTAATTGAAATTATGCAAATACCTGTTGCTTTGTAATTATTAAAAACTCCAGTAACCATGGAAAAATACAGAAATGTCAATGTTGTCAAAGAAAAGTTGTTCATTATTGCCATCATAACCTCGAATTGATGTGTATCCAAATAAACATGCACTTCTTTGTTTAATTGTAAACAAGTCAGGGCAAGTGTAATCACCTTATTGTTCGTTCTTCTCTAGCAGGTTCTCGTATTCGGTTAATTAACTTATACTCAGTTTTTACCGGTGTTCAATAAACCATTGGCTTAATGTGTCCTTGCGCTCTGTGTAACTTGCATACGTAGTAGGAATGTAGCCCCTCCTCGGTATTTATTTCGTTCCTGGGAAGTGTCAGTGGTTGTGCAATACTCTGAGTACCTCGGGAAGGCTTTGCATCAATTATCTCCGATACCCGTTCCTCTGTGTCTGGAGCCCGAAGATCTATTGTCATCCACCATCCACGATCTTTTGTCCTGTCTGTCTAAGGATAGTGCCCCTATTCCTTAGTTGGCCTCAGTTCTTTTGTTAGACATGAATAAAGGAACTCGTTCAGAACTGTCTAGGGAAGAACATGAAAAATATTATTAGTAAGATTCAAAATGAGAACTGATATGAAATGATATGAAGCAAAATTAATTTTGCAGAAATGTAATTCATTTTATTGACTAATTTCGACCGTATTGAATTTTGAGCACTTCCAAGGTATTATTCTTAACAGTCTTAGCAGTTCACCAACATTATCAAGTAAATAGTGTTCAAAAGTTACTTTCCGTACTTTTAAATAATTTATGCAGCTTGAAAACATGGAATTTCCCCAAAGTAAATATGCAAGTTGGCCTTTTAGCTTAAACCGCACGCAAACCAATACTGATTATTAGAGTAATAAAAAGACGTTTCAGTTTGTGTTGGAGCCCCATCATTTATCAAAGCGCTTTCCACTGGATATATTGGCTCAGAGCCCATTTTCTTTACATTAATTCCTTTTGGCAAATACGACCGGTTAAGGCCTTAAGCTTTCTCTGAGAGCACGCAAATATTCTTCGTATTAAAATGTTATGAC